ATAAGTTATAAATTCATCACAATATAATTACGAAATTGAAAAATTGACCTGCAAATTTATAGAGTTTGATACTTAAGACATAATTTAAATTAATTGATTATTTTGAGACTTTATTATCATTCTCCTTTCGTAATTTGTCTAAACATGGTAAAATTGAATATAATTTGGAATATGCAAAAGGAAAGTGGGATATATGGATTTATTTTTATTTTATTCTATTATGATCTATATGGACTCAAAATATTAAGGGAAAATTACAAGTTGGTCCTATAAAGCTGACTTATTTACAAATAAATTCTATAAAACTCAGAAACTATAACTAAGTCACTTGAGATCTAAGTGTAATTTTAAATTGGGATAAAAAGATAATAATTCTCCTATTAAACATATATACATTATAGCAGTCAAATAATTTATAATTATTTTATCAGTAATTTATAACTATAATGTTAACTTTTTGCAACTATAACTTCTTATATCCAATAATTTAATTGATCAATTTAAGTATTGAATATGTGAAGTTATATTTTAAGAAAATTAAAGTTATAATTATAAATTACTAATGAAATAGTTGTAAATAATTAATGTTAAAATTTGTTAGTAACAAATGATTGTTTTACTATTAAATATGTAAAATTATATTTATAAAAAATTAAAATTATAGTTATAAATTAATTGTTTGATTGATGTAATATATATTTTATAGGGGTATTATTATGTTTGCAACCTAATTTCAAATTACATTTAAGATCCTAGCTGTGGTGTTTAAATTTTGTGAGAGTTATTTATGAATAAATTTACTCCATAAAACCTATACATAATTTTTCTAAATATTAATGTCACAAGCGTAAGAATTGGTTGGAGTCCCCCTTTGAATGGCAAGGTATATCCTCCCACCATAATTAGATATAGAAGATTTATATATATATATATATATATTGAATTAATAGTGGTTATCACCGCGACCGACCAACAGGTTTGACTTTTTCAACCATGCATTTGTCAAGTTTAATTTGAACTATATATTGGCCTTTCCAAACATACTCACACAAGTCCTATAATATTGCACCGTTAGTTTCACCGTTTATAAGAAACATTTTTCGGTGTTCAAGTAGCTTGCTAGATAGAATGAGTCAGCATAATCACGATGACAACTTTTAAATCTTTAGACCTTTATATATACACGCAGGCATAGTTATATTACTTATAATTCATTAACTGTGCTTTATATGCTGATTATCAAGGAATCTCCCTCTTATTATAATGAGATACGCGGTAAACTTTTTTTTTTTTTTTAAATTGGGTCTCAGACCTTCAATTATATGAGGAAACCAAGACCAAATCATGGTTGCTTATGCTTATGTTTGCTTTAGCTGAATAGCTAGCACCCGCCTGCACAGCATGTATCTCATTTGTTGGACAAACCTATCAATACCTATATTAATTTTTTTTTTTTTGGCCAACATCGATACCTATATTAATGAACCTTATAGGATGTCAACAACACACACACACACACACACATACACAGGGGAGTTTTGCTTTTACACTTAGGGTAATTAATACATTTGTTTCCTCGAAAGTATACGTAGTGTGCTTGTGTGTGTCCCACCGTCTGACAGATTAATTGTTGGGTCTATGTTTCCCGACATGCCTTATGTATGTATCAACATATTAAAATCCGTCGTCCCAGGACCACTCAGCTCAGAAATTACATGTCTCAAGTGGTCCGTGTGCCTATAATTATTGGGAGGGGAACACTAGGCGTCTAGGCCTGGGATATTAAGGATTAGACCCACCCTTTAATGAATTGTGTTTATATGACCAGCGGCTTTGTTACAGCATGTGTTTTTGATTAGTTGTTACAATAAATGTCTTATTTATGATTTTTTGTTTATTGCTCATCACAAAATTGTGCCACTATACTCTTGTTGGGCCACTCTCATTTTGAAATATACCTTTCGCCCGACTACGTAATGCCAATTTCTTCTGAAGATACCATGTATATGCAATCCAAATTATTAAAATGAACAAGATGAACATATTTTTATACCATGAAGATGCACTTGGAACTTTTATACGCTTTTATACGCCCGACTGCTTTTATACGCTTTTTATATGAAAATATTTTACAGCTTCTGTGTTTTTTATTTTTTTTGAGTGAGAAAGGAATTTCATTAAAAATCAAGCTGTACAGCAACCAAAAGTGAATTACATCAAAGTGCTATAAATCTGATAGGATTTAATAGTGTGGTCAACTATTGCTCTAACATTTGCTAAAATACCATCTACAGTGGAAGATTCATTAGTAAAAATATTGCGATTGCGTGCATCCCATAATTTCCAACACATGATAACAGTGCCAATCTTCCAGGAGATATCAAGGTGGGGATTCATGAGTGTGTTAGTCATCCAAACATCAGTTGTCTTACCATAAAAATCAATCTTCATGTCTGCTGGTAGGATTTTCTTCCTGATTGCAGAAGCTAGTGTACATTCTTTGAAAACATGATTGATGTCCTCTTGAGAACCATTGCATAACGCACATTTTGGGTCTAGTGTCATCTTCCTTCTAAGCCTCTCAGTATTTGAAAGCAATCTGCCTTTGAAAAGAAGCCACATGAATGATCGTACTCACTAGGCCACTGGAAGTTTCCACACTTTCCTCCATATTGGTGCAGTGTCATTCCACTCTGTTGATTGAGACACGTTATATGCTGATTTTGTATTAAATTTACCATTAGCGTTAAGCTGCCAAAAGCAGGATGGTTTCTCTTGACTGCTGGCCTCAGGTGTTAATTTTCCTCATTTCCTTAAGAACAGAGCTTGGCAAAAGATGTTGGAATAATGACCATTTCCACTGCCCATTCTCATCAACATAGTCAGAAATGGGTCTCAGTAGATTATTGGCTGATATGCTTGTGTAAGACAAATACCTTAGAGGACCAAGATCACCAATCCAATAATCGGACCAAAATTTAAGCCCATTACCATTACCCAGTTTCCATTTAACGTGGAAAAATGGTATCTTGCCAAATCTTTGCTATGCAGCTTTTGTGTTTATTATTAGTTGTTGCAATAAATTTGTTGGTCTTATTTATGATTTTTTGTTTATTGCTCATCACGAAATTGTGCCACTATACTCTTATTGGGCCACTCTCATTTTGAAATATACCTTTCGCCCGACTACGTAATGCCAATTTCTTCTGAAGATACCATGTATATGCAATCCAAATTATTAAAATGAACCAGATGAACATATTTTCATACCATGAGGATGCACTTGGAACTTTTATACGCTTTTCATGAAAATTTACGTTGGAATTAATTTGAGAACGTTATGTATATATATGGCTTCTACTTTTGTGTTCATGAGTGGCTATTTTCCAAGCATGGTGTATGTCAAGAACCTTAATCATATACATGTGGTGGAGTTAACAGGTGACTTGAATCATTGAATTTTTCATGCAGGGTTAAAGTGGTGGTGCCTCGAAGGGCTCTGGTTAATTAGCTTAATCTTAAAATATGTAAGCCAAAGAAGATACATATACGTGGGATGTTGAAGTATAAAGAAAGGTCTTTATTTTACTCTTTAGATGCATGCGTGGTAGATAAATGCTATCTGTGTGTTAAAATGCCATTTTAATCGGGGGACCATCCTCACCAGTTAATAAATTAAATTAATGCGGTAGCTTTTCAAACTTATTCTTTTTACATATTTTGTTTACAGGGGTTGTAACTAATTGCTATTTACATATATAATTATAGGAAAATCCAAATTTTTAAATTTTATATAGATCGATGAGCATCATTTACTCCCAATATTTGAGTAACGGGTATTTTTGGACATTATTTTACAGATCTAAAGCGCTACTAAAAATAAATAAATAAGGGGGGTGGGTTTATTTGAAGACTGAATATATGTTAGTGTTCCTGAGGAATGAGAAAAAAGGGAGAGGCTGTCTGTTATGATGTCACCGATGTCGTCAACGAACACTCGAAAGGTACAAGGAATCGGAATGGGGAGCGACTAGACGTCCAATTAACATTCGCTCATTCTCTCATTTATAAAAGATTCGCCGGTGGTTACGAGTTTGATTGAGATAGAGATGAAGGTTGCCTGGCGGAATCATCAAAGAGCAACCAACACCAGTCCGAAGCATTTTGTAACCAAAGTAGTCTTAGTCTACATGTCGTGCTCTTCCTTCCCTTTGGACTCGCCACCTCGCGCTCGTGGTCCATTCTAATTACTATTAGGCCCAATTTTAATTTAAGGTGGATGCATTCAATGTAGCTGTTGAGAGTTCAAGTGAATGAAGGAGCTCCCGAGAGGAGTCCTATCAAGATCTGAAAGAGATGCATAGTGCATGAGAAAGTGTGTACTAAAAGTTCAAACAGCCTGTAGCGAAATGTAGTGAACAAACTGGTGTGATGAAATGATCAGGCAATTAAGTGATATTTGTAGTCTTGGAGTTAGAACGAACTGGCTCATGAATGCTGAAGTCATGAGTTCAAGTTTCACTGTGGACCAAAGCAAACTTTAGCACGGCCCAAATACTGCTTTCACCTGCTGACACTTCCTTTTCGCCCATAATATCAATTGGCAGCGAAAGCAGAGGATATGGTTTTTTGTCCACCAAGTACGTACGTGATGGATGATTAAGCATGTTTCTATAAGTCAAATTAATCGAAGTGTTAACAATTTTTCATCTTTTCACTTGGATCGCTAGCAAATATTTCTATCAGTAATGTGAATCGTATGGAAAGAGTAAAAGTGCACTTAAAATTGATCAAACAAACTTGCATCCGAGGGATAAAAGAGGAATGATGAGTATGACAGAGGTCTTACACAAAGCGGGCACAGCCATGAAAGCTCCACAGAAAGACGTGCTGGCCAAGCCAATCGCACCCCCCACCCACCTCCCACACCCCACACGGGTCCCGCCTCTGCAATCAAGCTTCTTCCAAAAGCTTCTTTCCTACTTCCTACTTCCCATTTCCATTTCCTTTTTCGGGTTTTCCCCATCTTCTCCCCCTCCCCCTTCCCCCAAATGCCGATCGCCAGCCCTAACCACCACCTCCCGCCTCCTTCTCCCATCCCCCGGGCCAGAGGCTCGCGCTCCGCCGCCGACCCCCGCTTCGCCGACTACCTTGACAACACTCTTCATTGTCCGGAGCTGGCCCTCCCGCCAGTCTCGCACATGCTGGTGCCCGCCGAGATAGAGTACCGATCGCTGTCCGCCCGGATGGATGCCGTGGTGAGATCAGTGAAGGAGTTCGGTGCGTTCAGGATAAAAGGTCACGGGATAACGGCGCAGGAACTGGCTAAAATGGAGGAAGAAGCGCAGGAGGCGGCCGCTCCGAATGCCGGCCGAGTCATTCCCTGCGTTCATTGTCGCCAGGGTACATTGCAGTTCATCGCTTCCAAGTCTTTTGGCCTCCATTCCCATCCTAACTTTTGGTAACCCCCCCTTCTTTTTTATATTTTCCTTCTAAAATGTTTCCTCAACAAAGTTTGCGGGGTTTCAATTGATTTTTTTTTTTTTATAGAATTTAAACTCTTACTTTACTCTCCTGTTAATCTTCAGCGAACACTTGAAACTCGTAATCATCAATATATCGATGCATGAAGCTAGACGTAATGTTCACTGACAGTAAACAATGTAGTTCATCATATTTTATATTTTGCCCAAATGCCTCTAGTATAACAACGCACCTGGCACATCATTGTTTAGGCTGAGAATAAAACCTCTGGACTCGGATTGTCACGACAAGATTAAGAACCTAACGATCTAAAGTCGTGTATGTGTGAATTAGACAGTCTAATTTGAGACGAAACCATGGTCTTTCACACTCTATACACTATTGGCTTGTTATACTTGATTAACAAATACATACATAGTTGCTGCCATTTGAGTCCACCGCTCCACTGTGAGAAACTGTCTGCCATCAATCCAGCTGACGTGATTAACAGAGAAAATGAAGATTCTGAAACTGGGGAGTTATACATGTATAATATATGGGAGCTAACATGGGATTCCTTATGCATGATATATGGAGGATTCCTATGGGGAGAGTGGCTAGTAGACTAGATAGCATAGTGGAGCAAGTGAGTGCAGCTCTACAGCAGTTGAAGCAAGACACAGAGTCGGTGATTAGCTTGTGCAGGCATCCCCATGGCAACGTGAGTGAATCAGACGACACGGATGATGAGAGATGGTGCGATTATGCTCTACGTTTCTACCTTCCATTGCAGCAATGTATATTCTATGTCCAATCCGGAAGAGGTCCCCTGTCATTTGATGCTGGTCCTGATACTATCGTTGTCACCGTTGGCAGACAACTCCAGGTTAATCTTTTCCATCTCCTTCTATACATTTCAAAGCTAGCGTTACTATTGAATACAGCATGATCGAAGACAACAAATTAAGGCTCTATAATTAACCAAAGATGTTCCATTGTGGATATATAGGAGTGGAGCTGCGGGCAAATTAAGAGTGTTGCTGCAGAAATGATATTCATGTCAGGTTTCCAGAGCAAGCAGGCCGCTTTATCCGTAGAGCTTAAGTTGTTCCGCAGTCTGAACAAATCTCACAAGATGCTCTCCTTATCTGATCAGATCCTTATTCTACTCTGCCTTTCATTTTTATACAATTTCTTGTTACTTCTCTTTTCTTCTTGATCCCCAGTCGCAAGTGGTTGAATCTTTTCGGTTGTGTGGTCATGACTAAAGCCCCTCGATTCGCCAAGTGACACCAATTTTACCCTCTCATTCACTTACTGAAAGCCATTATGATGTACAGTTGAAGCGTAAAGGTTGTGGGGTTTGATTAAAATGCAAATTATTGCTTGATTTCTGAGTTCGAAACATGCAAAGTTATTTGCTTTAAGCATATTTCTTGTTCCTTTAGTATATATAAGAACGATCACGTATTTATGGACTCAGTCTCTATGATGTTGAGTGTTATTGATATATTCGCGCGCTTTACAGCCTTTAGACGGGCTTTTGGTCCTGATTGTGTCAGAGCTCATGCCTCTTTGATTTTGATCCTCTCTGCATTAATTTTGTAACTTTGACAAATTTCTGTATTACAAGAAACAAGAAATAGATGATCGTTGGCCAAAAAAGAAAGAGATGATCGCCATCTTCATTCTTCAACGAGTCAATGACCCTTATGGATTCATATACCGTGTATTGTTGCAGAGGAACAGGGGAATGAACTATGTACCTAATGAATAAAGCTTGGTAACGTGCATATATTGATTTATATATACATAAAACCAAGCATGGAGGACTCGGATGAGTATGACGGAAGTATTAAGGAGCGCAAGGGATGAAAGTGAGGTGTCTTCTTTCTATTTCGGCGGAGAATGATGTGTTCGTCCGTCAACTTTTCATTTGCCAAATCAGCATTAAAACGTTTCAAATTTAAATTCTTAAACATACTTTTTTATTTTTTATTTTAATTTTCATTCCTAAAACTATTTGGTTCGATAATAGAAGACCAAAAGGTCAAAGAAGTTTTTTGTAGATTTAAACTTTTATTATAATCGGCAACTGGAACGTTATGAAAGATTAGGATCTTCAGCCGAGCTCAATTCCGTTGATGATACAAGAGTTATTTTAAAATGAATAATTGTAATTTCAATTTACTTATACACTACAAGGGCCTCAAAAGACTCATATATTATAGATCATATAGGCAGGCCTATGAGCCCATTTGTAACTAAATTGGATCTGTCCCGCAGTTGTGATTCTTCCATGCATCGCGCTTTGATGTAGGACCTTCGGGAAAATCATATAACGGAATCTTAATAAGAGCTCACTTTGAATTATTTTTCTTCTCTCTCTCTCTTTTTGGTGTTTTATTTTTAATATTCCAAGAGTGATTTCTTTTTGTTAATATATCCAAACGTAAGTACACTTAACTCAACGTAAGAAGTCTCATGAAAAAAAATGAATTTAATAAATAACATATAATAACATGAAAGAACAAGTAAACTCACTCAAATCTTAAAATTTTTAGTTGAAATGTTGTATTCTCTAGCAAACATCCAAAAATTAAGCTCCTTATCAAGGGAAACTTTTGGTGATACAATATGTGTATGTATTTTAGTCTCAACCTTATATCTTAGCTCCAACCCTGCAAGTAGGGATGTACACAGGCTAGGTCATGCATCATCCCCAACTCATTACCTGGCTCAAGGTGCAATTCAGGCTAGCCTAATCCTTCATTGTTTTAGGAAAACTTGACCCAACCTAAAAAATATTTTAAAAATAATGAATTTTTTATTTATCAACAAAACAAATTGTAATTATCCTCATTTAAGATATATTTTATATAGAACTAACATCAGGATGAGAACAATAGTTTTTAAAATTATATATACTTAAAAATATCCATTATTTTTATATATTAATAAGTTTAAAAATAACTTTAAAATGTTAAAAATGATTAAGAAACTAAAATATAAAAATATGAATAATGAAAATAAGATATTACATGAAATATATTAAGAAGTATTATATTATAAAATAATTATTTTTCACCAAATTTTTTTTTTAAAAAAGATGTATGTTCTGGTTTACTAGGACGGTGTGGGGTTTAATCCTGGTGACATATGTACCAGACCATCATGCCTCTTTCACAATCCTACTCATGTTGTAAGCTTATATTCCCTTTTTTCCAAATCTTTTTGTTGTTTAAGGTTTGCTTATGTATTAAGAAATCATTATTATTTTCTTAATTTCAAAATAATTATTAGTTTAAAGTTGTACGCACAGGCTAGAAAACTAATAATTAAGAGCATGTTTGAAAATATTTTTGTTTTATTGTTTTGATAACTGATATTTTATAAAATATATTCTGAGAATAAAAAAATAATAAAAATGAGTGTTTTTTTTCATTCTCCTTATTCTTCAAAATAATATTTTATTTTTTATTCTTTAAAATACTTTTTAAAAATATATTATCAAACAAATTTTTTTATTTTTATTTTTCTTTTAAAGAACAAAAAACTGTTCCTAAAAGAAATTGCCAAACAGGCAATAGCCTAAAGTTAAATCAAATGCAATGGTATTTTACTAAAATACTCTTATTTATTATAATACCTTAAAATAAACATTTCTAGTCATTTTATTGAAACACGAAAATTTCAAAAAAATAATTAATGGTTTTTGTTTTTGGGGAAAGCCCGTGGTGATAATATTAGTTCGAAACAAAACCAAATCTCTATGGTGACAATATTAATTAATGATTATGAACATACAAACATGTAAAAAAATCATTACATCTTTAAAAAAAGGCCACCGGTGAGATTTATTATCGATGTGCTTAATGGATGACAAGTTATTTTACTAACAATTTTTTATTTTTTTTATTCTTTTATGAATGTGAATGAGGTATATAATAGTAGAGCGGATTAATCCTCGATAACGTGATAAATTAATATTTAAATTTTTATTAAAAGGATGTCTATATTTAATATCAAACAGTATTTTAAATAAAATTACTTTCAATAAAAAAATATTTATGAGTAATAAAAAAACTTATTTTTCTTTTGTTCATATTGAAAACAAATAGACACATTATTTTATGTCCGAACTTATTACTTGTAAAAAAATTAAAAGATAATTTGAAAATTATATAAATATAAAATATGTTAATATGATATCTTAAAAATATAATATAAAAATAATTTTTAAATATAGTCACAGTGAAACATGTTTTGATTTTTTAACAAAATAAAAAATAAGCATAACCAAAAAAATAGGAAAAACAATTGATTTTTTTTTTTAAAGAAAAGGAAATGGGTTCATGGTACTGTTAATTTTACTGTTCCATCTTCCATGAACACTGAATTTTTTTTCATATTTTATTCTGTATAAGATAAGATAATAAGATTTTGATGATGGGAAAATGAAAAGAAAAAGGAGGGAACGAACCAGAAAGAAATTTCATAGACGAAATGATTGAGGTATCGGTTGGATACAAAAAAAAAAAATAAAAATGATAGAAATTAAAAAAATAAAAATAAAAATAAAATAATTAAAAAAATAAATGAATCACATTCATTAGGAAAAAGTATAATTTAATTTATAAAATCAGAAGTTATGATTTATAAAATTTTTAGAGGGTGTAATAATTTTTATATTTATAATATATAGTAATTAATGAATTTTATTATGTTTATCATATTAAAAATAATTTAATTTATTTTTATTTTATTTTTTAAATTTATTTCATTTAGATCCTTTTTAATAATTAAATGGACCTAAAGTGCACAAAAAAGCGACCGCATTATAATAAAGGCATCTTTGGGGTGGATAAAAAGTCAGATTGCTCATGATTCTTAAATGACGCTGGATCTGTCTCTCAGATTTAGACTCGTCATCTTTGGGGTGGAGTATTATTTATTCAAAAATCAAAATAGCAGATGATGTAAATGTTTTAAACATTTTAAGGGAAATTCCACTGCAACCCCCTTAACCAAATTTATTTATAATTAATCTTTCTAAAATTTTGGAATATCAATTCAGTCTTTATAGATCTCATTAGGGCAAAATTGAAATCAAGTATTTTAGGAAAATGATATAAATAACCCCACTCTTTCATGTTAGTTGTATATTTTTTATACAGTATTTATTCATTTTTTTACATGAGTTATTCATGCGTCTAGATTCACTTGTTTATATTCATAAATGTGTTATACTATTAATGAGAATTGTAAATTTTACCTACGTTAGTTGCTCATTTTTCATATATCAATTGTTTATTTTTTCTACATGAGTTTTTCATGCGTTTAGCATTATTTGTTTATATTTATATTAATGTTATGTTATCAATAAAAGTTTTAAATTTTACCTATGTTAGTTGTTCATTTTTCATATGTAAATTTTTCATTTTGCAACATGAGTTATTCATGTACACAACTTCACTTATTTTTATTTATAGTAGTTTTATATTGTTAATGAAAGCTGCAAATTTCTTCCATCAGGGGATTGGAGTTATTTGTATCATTTTCCTCAAAAATTTTATTTCAATTAAGCTCAAATGGGATCCATAAGAATTGAATTGATGTTTTAAAATTTTCAGAAGTTGACAATAAATAAGTTTGGCCAAGGGAGGTTGTAGTGAAAATTTACCAACATTTTATGTTCATTAAGTGATGATTCCAAAATAATAGAAACTTGAAATTGGAAACATAAAATTTTTAATCCTTAAATTTATTTTCAATTACCGATTTATTAGTTTTTGAATTTTGACTCAAAATAATTTGGTCTCTATATTTTTTTTCACTTTGTAGTCTTTGTGTTTATAGTTTTTTCTATTCAGAATACAATTTAGGTCTTATAATTTCTGAACTCAATAAATTATAAATACTAAATTATATTGAAAAAAATTCATGGACTAAATTAATAATTGAGAGAAAGTTTAGGAATTAAAAATCATATTATCCCAAACATAAATTTCATGTGTATATATATGTGTATTTAATTCGATCACTTTGTTTTTAAATTAAAATGATATTTTTCTATCTATGCAGGACATAAATGTTAGATTTTTTATATTAAATATATTTAAGAATAATATACTCTATTAAAATAACTTAAGCCATTTGTTGAGATATTTTCTAAGTTTATATATTTATGATTTATCTTCTAATCTTTAGATGTGATACTTCTTTTATCTTCTAATAATAAATAACCCATAGATAAGACTTTATAAGAAGAATTAAGAATTTAAACTCTAATAATAGAAAATATAAAAAATCAAAATAATAACAATATAATAAAGAAATGTGCATGTGGATCAATAATAATTCAGAAAAAAAGGATATCTATGTATCTATATAATTATTTTAATTTAGTTTTTCTTTTATGTATTATTATCATCTTGTAAAAACTAAAAAGTACTCTACTATGAATCTACAAGTAATCCAAATTCATTTGATGCGGAAATTAAATAGCCATGGCTCGCAACCTCGGACAGTTAACGAAATTAATAAAGAAG